TCGGCCTCAAAAAGGTTCTGGCAAACCATCCGGAATATCAGGAGGGGGAAGCAGCTCCTGGTTCCTACTAATTATAGTGAGGAGGGAGTGCCTCAGATGCATCGACGTGCACTGCCTTTGAGACATCTAAGGGCACAGAGCACGGGGGGTCTGGAGTGGACTTGCCCATCCCCAGGGCTGAGGTGGCTAGGGTAGTTAAAGAGCTATGTGATGGCCGGGCCCCGGGGGTGGACGAGATCCACCCAGAGTACCTAAAAGCTATGGATGTTGTGGGGCTGTCATGGCTGATATGTCTTCTCAACAGTGCGTGGAGGTCAGGGACGGTGCCGCTGGATTGGCAGACCGGGGTGGTGGTCCCCTTATTTAAGAAAGGGGACCGGAGGGTGTGTTCCAACTACAGGGGGATCACACTTCTCAGCCTCCCTGGGAAGGTCTATGCCAGGGTACTGGAGAGGAGGGTAAGATCGATAGTCAAATCTTGGATTCAGGAGAAACAATGCGGTTTTCGTCCTGGCCGTGGAACACTGGACCAGCTTTATACCCTTGCGAGGGTACTGGAGGAAGCCTGGGAGTTTACCTATCCAGTTTACATGTGTTTTGTGGACTTGGAAAAGGCTTATGACCGGGTTCCCCGAGGTGCTCTTTGGGGGGTACTTCGGAAGTATGGGGTTCGGGGTCCACTATTGTGGGCGATTCGGTCCCTGTATGAACGGAGCAGAAGCTTGGTCCGCATTGCCGGTAATAAGTCGGATGTGTTCCCAGTGCGGGTTGGGCTCCGCCAGGGCTGTCCTTTGTCATCGGCCCTGTTTATAATATTTATGGACAGGATTTCTAGGCGCAGCCAAGGCGTCGAGGGTGTCCAGTTTGGTGACCTCAGGATTGCCTCGCTGCTTTTTGTGGACGATGTCGTCCTGTTGGCTTCATCTGCTGGGGATCTCCAGTGTGCTCTGGGGTGGTTTGCTGCTGAGTTCGAAGCGGCGGGGATGAGGATTAATACCTCCAAGTTCAAGACCATGGTTCTCAGCCGGAAATGGATGGATGGCCCTCTTCAGGTCAGGGAGGAGGTACTGTCTCAAGTGGAGGAGTTCAAGTATCTCGGGTCTTGTTCACGAGTGAGGGTAGGCGAGATCAAGAGCTGAACAGACGAATCGGAGCAGCTTCTGCAGTTTGGCAGGCACTGAACCGGTTCGTCGTGGCTCTCGATGTATTGGTCCATCTTCGTCCCTACCCTCACCTATGGTCATGAGCTATGGGTAATGACTGAAAGAATGAGATAGCGAATACAGGCGGCCGAAATGAGGTTTCTCCGCAGGGTGTCTGGGCTCTCCCTTAGGGATAGGGTGAGAAGTTCGGATATCCGGGAGGGCCTCAGAGTAGAACCGCTGCTTCTTCACGTCGAAAGGAGCCAGTTGAGGTGGTTTGGACATCTGGTGCGGATGCCTCCTGGGCGGCTACCCGGAGAGGTTTTCCGTGCATGTCCTACAGGGAGGAGGCCCCGGGGCAGACCCAGGACTCGCTGGAGGGATTATATCTCTCGGCTGGCCTGGGAACGCCTCGGCATCCCCCCCCCGAGGAGCTGGTAGAGGTAGCTGGGGAGAGGGAGGTCTGGGTATCTCTCCTGAAGCTGCTACCCCCGCGACCCGAACCCCAGACAAGCAGAAGCTAATGGATGGATGGCAAATGAAAAGCTGTATGATTTGTTTACTGCAATCTCATTTCCAAAAATGTTGGGATGCTGTGTAACGTAAATAAAAACAATGCGGTGATTTACAAATCATATATACCCACATTTAACTGAAAATAGAACAAACACAACATATCAGATGTTGAAACAGATACATTTTATTGTTTTATGACAAATGTATGCTCAATTTGAATTTGATGCTGAAAACACATTACCACTGTGTTGCATAACCTCTTCTTTTAACACTTTGTAAACATTTGGGAACTGAGGAGACAAGTTGTTGGAGTTGTGAAAGTGAAATGTTGTCCCATTCTTGCCAGATATAGGATTTCAACTGCTCAATAGTTTGGGGTCTCCTTTGTCATATTTTTTGTTTCATGATGCAGCAAATGTTTTCAATGGGTGACATGTCTGGACTGCAAACAGGTCAGTCTAGCACCTGGGGCCGGTTGCACAAAACACCTTAAGTTTTCCCCTTAACTATGACACTTAAGGTTTAATTTCTCCTTAGCTAAGGGATTTATTTAAGGGTGTTGCACAGAACCCCTTAAAAGGTTTCCTTAGTTAAGAAAAAACATTAAGGAATTTACAACATTGAAAGACGTTTTACAGCAGTAAAATTGTCCTGTTTCCATGGAGACCGTTCATATGCTTGCACTCACGTCTGCTTGTGATACCCGTTATCGCCTCACAAGGTAAAAAAAAATGGGAGAAAAGAAGACAAGAAAGCCAAATTGGTCGGCGGAGGAAAAGATTATACTTTTGGAAGAATACAATAAAAGAAAGAACATACTAAAAAGTAAATTTGATCCGCAAATAACAGCAATCAGAAAACAACAAATGTGGGAGGAAATTGCAATGAAAATTAATTCAAGAAGTCTACATTGTGCTACAACGTTAGTTATTTTATGTTGATGATTGCAAACTAACTGGACATTGATTGAATATAGATTTTTTCTGTTAATAAATTGATCTTCATATTGTACAGGAGCTTGAATCCTGATGTGGGTCCCATCTATCACCCCGCACACTCTTGGGAAGCCGGCTACATTAAAAAGTGTGTCGCTATTTCATCCTCTTCTTGTTTAGAGGGGAACTTCACCATGGTGTTCAACAGAGGGGAAATGGTGTTTGAAATTCGGTGAATGACGCAGCACACCATTTACTTGTAGACATGAGATACATTGCCTATTACAGCCTGGAACGATCGAGCCCGTAGCATAAAACCGCAGAGCAATCATTAATTGCAATGCGGCTGGGAGAGCACAGCTTCGGGTTGTGGAGTGATCCAACTGTAGACAGTCGGACAAAACATAAATTGACTGCCGGTCAAATTTATAAAGCAAAATCAATTGCTCATCATTAAGCGTATCTAAGGGGTTCTCCCGGTCGCGGAACACTCTTTTTGGGATTCGTTCATTTTCGTTATTTATTATCATAAACTCAACCATGTTGCAGTTAAGGTACGGTTAGAGGTACCTTAATTTTTTTCCCTTAGTTTGGTTGCTAAGGTCTTTTGTGCAACCGTTAAGGGATTCCTTAAGTATAAGACCAAGATAAGGAGAAAAACTTAAATACTTAAGAGAAAATGTTAAGTAAACCTAAGGAGGAGACTTAAGGGTGTTTTGTGCAACCGACATTATTTTAAGGAGACCTTAACTCGGACTTTAAGGAAAATCTTAACTGAAGGTGTTTTGTGCAACCGGCCCCTGGACTCTACTACTATGGAGCCATGCTGTTGTAATTTGCACAGAATGTAGTTTGGCATTGTCTTGCTGAAATATACAAGGCCTTCTCTGAAGAAGACATTGTCTGGATGGCAGCATATGTTGCCCCAAAACCTGAATATATTGTTCAGCAGTAATGGTGCCTTCCCAGATATGCAAGCTACCCAAGCTATGGGCATTAATGCACCCCCACACCATGACAGATGCTGGGTTTAGAACTGTTCACTGAAAACAAGCCAGATAGTTCTTCTCCTCTTTAGCCCAAAGGACTCACCATCCATGATTTCCAAAAAGAAATTGAAATTTTGATTCATCAGACCACAGGACAGCTGTCCATTTTGCCTCAATCCATCTTAAATGAACTTGCGCCCAGAGAAGTCGGTGGCGTTTCTGGATCAATTTAGATATGGTTTCGTCTTTGCCTGATAGAGTTTCATCCTGCATTTATGGATGCAGCGACGAACTGTGTTCACAGACAGTGGTTTTCGGAAATGTTCCTGAGCCCATGCAGTCATTTCCAGTACAGAATCGTGTCTGTTTTTAATGCAGTGCCACCCGAGGACCCGAAGATCACAGCTATCTAATATTGGTTTTTGGCCTTGTCCCTTGCATACAGAGATTTTTCTGGATTCTCTGAATCTTTTTATGATATTATGTACCGTAGATGATGAAATTCCAAAGTTCTTTGCAATATTACTTTGAGGAACATTATTCTTAAACTGTTTCACTATTTGCCCACACAGTTTTTCACTGAGCGGTGAACCTCTCCCATCTTCACTGCACAGAGACTCTGCCTCTCTGGGAGGCTCAGTCATCTTACTGACCTGTTGCCAATTAATCTAATTAGTTGTGAGATATTCAACCAGGTTATTTGTTTTAGCATTACACAACTTTTTCAGTCTTTTATTGGCCCTGTCCTAACTTTTTTGACTGTGTTGCTGGCATCAAATTCAGATTGAGCATACTGTATATTTATCATAAAACATTAAATTTCTTAGTTTTAACATTTCATATTTTGTCTTTGTTCTATTTTCTATTAAATGTGGATTTATATGATCTGCAAATCATTGCATTCTATTTTCATTTTACACAGCATCCCTAATTTTGTAAGTGAGGTTGTAGAATAGGCTTTAGGCTGACGACAAACCTGTGCTGGAAAACTGATATGGATGGAAAAGAGAGAGATTATCAGGTCTATTATCAGGTCTATTGGAAAAAAACTTGGAGGACTTGGCAGAAATGGATGGTGTGTTGATCTGTGTATGTTTTACAGGATAACTTCTGATAAGCAGCTTCTGTTAAATAAATCACAATTTCCCCTGTGACTGCATAATAGCTGTTTGTTGTCTTCTTTGGATTTCAGGACTGTAGATGTGCGCATACAGACCACAAACACGCACCAGCTGTGTAGCGACTAGTCAGGTTCTTTTATTAAGTACTCGCACTTCCTAGTTCCTTTCTTTCACTCCCGTATCCCAGCCTGCTCTCGCCACTGATGTCATTTCCTAAACAGGGATGGTTTTCGTGGTAACAGTAACCAAACTACAAGGACAAAGGTGACATACAGCAGAGACTGAATCCTGGCTCACCTGTAACTCTGGCCATTGCTGCCTCCATGTCTGTCCCAATCCGAGAAACAACAGGACAGAAGAGCAGGATGACATTGCTGCTCTCTGCACTGCAGAGCTTTATCTGCAGCTTCAGCTTTTGAATGAAGGTGTCATGAGTATTGAAGGTTTCTCCAGCAACCAGTGTATGGGCTTTCACTGTGGAAGAGGAATAGAAATTTAAAATGAGTTACAATTCTCATGAACAGGAAGAATACATGAAAAATTTCTACATATAGATGTCTTTATCAGGTATACATGCATGGAAGTGGTAGAATGTAGTACTGTGTGGTATAAACGGTATATAAAATAAATTTGGCCAACGGGAGAGATTTTGATTATACCGCGCTGCTGCAGAAATCTCCGTTCCTCGCCCCCAAAAATGACGTAATCAAGTCGCGTCAATTAATAAATAATTTATTATTTATATGATTTATATGAAAATTATTTATATGATTATTGCTACACCTGTCAGAAGAGTCCTGCACGGGTCTGATTTTGACAAGCCGCACCCGCCCGTACCCGTCATACTTAAACCCGTATCCAAACCGTTATCCGACAGAAAAACCCGACCCGCACCCGAATGAAAATCAGTCAGATAGCCAAAATTAGACAAACGTTTCTTGCCACAACAAACGACCAGTGACATGTGCAACATCAGTTGAAAAGGCATAGCCAAATGAAAACTTTGCTTAATAACAGCCTAATAATAAGCAAAACAAATGGTAGCAGTCTACCTCCAAACTCAAATAATGTTTGATATTGCCATGCCCACACATAGCCTTACCAGCTTATAATCAAATGTACTAATAAAACTAATATTATATAAAATGTACATTAGGCTACCCTGCACATTATTAGGTTTTATGGGCTACCTACATGCACTGTCCATTTTCCTTTGATTACTCGATTGGAATTCCTACGTGAAGGCGAAGACTAGTGTTTGGTGTGGTGCTTTATATTACTGTGTAAAAAATTATATCGTCTACAGTTGATGGCCTCAGCTGACTCCGCTCCTGGATGACATATCCGGCACATGAGAAATCTCGCTCACTTGCGGCGAGAATAGATCTCGCAATGTGAGTAATATTGGGTGTCAGGGTCAGCCCCTGTTGTGGTCCTTCTGTGTCCCTTCCCGTTTGGCCAGCAGGCGTTTGCTGGTCATCCCGTTCTTTATGTTAGTCTTTGTTCTCCCCGGTTACCTGTCTGGTCATGTGGCTCAATGTGTTGAGCATGTGGTTGTCTGTGTTCCCTTCTGTCCTGTATTTGAATCCTGCCTCCTGTTTTTGTATTTTGCTCCCTAGTGTTTCATTTGAGTTTCTTTAGTTCTTGGGTTTGATTTTCTAGTTGGTTTTGTTTTGTTCCTTGTGCCCCTGCTTGTCTTTACCTGTCTGTAATTCCCCAGTGTTGGTTCCTTATTCCTTGGTTAGTTCTTAGTTTCCCTGTTTTTGGTTCCTTTGAGTTCATTAGTTTCACCTGTGCCCTGTTTCCCTGGTCTTTGTTAATTAGCCTCACCTGTCCTGTGTTAGTCTCGTTACCCCTTAGTATTTTAGTTCCTGCTTCTGTTCAGTTCCCTGGTGGTTCATTGTTGTTGCTTGTCTAAGCTTTGTTAGTTTGGTTAGATCTGTGGTCTGTTTACCTTCCCAGTTTTCGTTATTTGTGATATTAAGTCTTTAATTATCCCCTTTAGTTTTTGACCCTCGTGGTCCTTTTGGTTTTGTGTTTGTAGTGTTTTCTGTTTTATTTAATAAACCCCTTTCTGTTCTTGGAGCCGCTAGTGGGTCGTCCGCCCTTTTTGTGCCCGATGCCACGTTCCCGCACCCGAGCCACCCGGATCCGTGACAATTGGGGAAACAATTGCTCATGCTCTCTCTACCAAGACAAGACGTCAAAAGAGTTGTTTTCATTATCTGAGAACTCCGAAATTTTCCCACACATCGGACTTGATTTTAGTGGAGGTATTGGCCACAACTTTAAACTCTCCACTTGCTAGTTTTCTTTTCAACTTTTTCGAATCCCGAGAGATTTCCGGGAATGTGCGTGCAGGCATAAACTGATATGGATTTTATGTTTTATCATCTTGAATGCAGGGATTTTTTGTGTCACTAAAATATAGCCCTAGGGTATTCTGTTTACCTACAGTTTACAAAACCAACTTGTGTTTTTAATATAACATAAAACCAGGGAAGTTACTTGAAATATTTTCTATAATTGCACATTTGCACAATAAATATTCTACGTTCACGACTACTAATGTGTTAACAGTTTATTACAACTTACAAATACAACTTCCCGCTGCAATGCCTTTGTTATGGACATATGTTACCCTTTCATAATGTCATGACCTGCTCGTTTGCTCCTCATGTGTGCCACGCCCCCTTTGTTACCTTGTGTTAATTCCCGATTGTGATCACCTGTTCCCTGTTATTTCGGCTTGTTTCGTGCCTGTCCTGCCCGTCCCGCCTGACTCGCCGGCGCCACCTGTCCTGCCTGTTACGGTGGCCGCTGCACCGCCCAGTGAGGCTCTCGCTGCCATAGTGCCCCCTGCTGGCCAAGAGTCGGTGGTGCCTGCTGACGCCGCTACGCCCGTCCTGCCTGTCTCGCTGGTTGACGCTCTGCCCCCTATGCCCAAGATCCCGGCGCCACCTCCGCCTGCAGCTGCACCGCCCGAGGTCCCGGCGCCACCTCCACCTGCAGCTGCACCGCCCAAGGTTCCTGCTGCGGCCCCGCCTCCGTCTGCTGCGACACCCGCATCCCGCTTGCCTGCTGCTGTCGCTACGCCCGCAGCGGCCCCTGCTGTGGCTCGGTGGCTGCCTACGGGTCCTGCGGCTCCGGCTTGGCTGTTGCCTCCGGGTCCCCCTCCGGTGCCTCGTCGCCCACCTGTGGTCCCTCCGGTGACGCCTTCGTCGGCCGCCTTCGGGTCCCCCTGCTTCGGCTTGGCGTTGGACGGCGCCTTCCCCGGCTCCGGCTGCACCATTGCCTGCCGCGGCTTCCCCCTCCTGCTTGCCTGCGCCAGTGTCCCCTCCTGCTCCCTCCTCGTCTCCTCTGTCGGTCCCTCCGTCTGTCTCCTTGTCCCCTGTGTGGTCCCCTCCGGCTCCGGCCTCCCGTCCGCCTGTGCTCCCTGCAGCTGCCTTCCCTCGCCTGCCTGGGTTCCCTCAGGCTCCCCATTGTCCTCCCGCCTTTGTTTCGCCTCCTTCCTTCATCCCTCCTGTTTCTGCTCCTCGTCCCTCTGTTTCTCCTCCATTCACTCCTGGCCCTTTCGTTCCATCTGTTGGTGTTCCCTCTGTGTCTCCCTTCCTGGTCTGCCTGTCTGTGTTTCCCGTTTTGTGTCAGGTGTTGTCTTGGCTGTTGCCCTTGTGCTTGTTCTGTGTTTCTGTTCTGTTCCCAGCCCCTCGTTGATGATTTTTGCTCTTGTTTTCCAGGTCCCGTGTCCCCAGTTTCTTCTCCTCCGTCGCCTCCCCAGAGGCGCGCCCGGAGTGCGCACCTTTGGGGGGGGGGGGTTCTGTCATGACCTCCTGTGTGCCATGCCCCCCTCGTTACCTCGTATTAATTCCCGATTGTGATCACCTGTTCCCTGTTATTTCGGCTTGTTTCATGTATATTAGTCCACGTCTTCCTTAGTTGGGTGTCCGTCATTGATGTTATGTGCGTTGCTGTCTGCCCTGTCTCCCTGAATAAACCCTCGTTTCCCGCAATCCTGCCTGCTTGCCTCGTCCATCGCCACTTCCTGCCTGCTCGATCGCCGCGATCGGGACACACAAACTGTTGTATTGAAATTTACAGGTCAAATTATATACCGCAATATATACCGTCTACCGTCTATGGTTCAAATTATTATTAACCGCAATATAAATTTTATGCCATAGCGCACAGCCCTAGTAGAATGCTCTCCTTCTCAAACTGTATATGGTGGTGGAGATATGAATTTAGTAATAATTGTATTGAGGATTTAATATGATGCTTAAATTTATAAGGTTTTAGCTGGAAATGGTGGGAACATTATACTTTTTGCTGAGTTTGATTGAAAGTGAATGATTAAGGAGGTAGATAGGAAACCTTAGAAGCACTGGACAGCTTACCTGAAGTATTTGGGCACAGCCATGAGACCACTGCAGATAACCATGTGGACACTGCAGATAAAAGCTGACTTAGATTGATGAAACTCCAGTTTGACATTAAGAGGGAAAGATTTTGAATCACAGAAAACAATGGAGTTCCTGTAAAATATTTGCCATCTTGAATCAGTTGCAGTAGTAATGGAGGTCAAAGTGGTCACAATAGGTTAGATTGCAAAGATATGCAGAGGGGGTTACGATATCAATACTTAGAATATACACTCACCTAAAGGATTATTAGGAACACCTGTTCAATTTCTCATTAATGCAATTATCTAATCAACCAATCACATGGCAGTTGCTTCAATGCATTTAGGGGTGTGGTCCTGGTCAAGACAATCTCCTGAACTCCAAACTGAATGTCAGAATGGGAAAGAAAGGTGATTTAAGCAATTTTGAGCGTGGCATGGTTGTTGGTGCCAGATGGGCCGGTCTGAGTATTTCACAATCTGCTCAGTTACTGGGATTTTCACGCACAACCATTTCTAGGGTTTACAAAGAATGGTGTGCAAAGGGAAAAACATCCAGTATGCAGCAGTCCTGTGGGCGAAAATGCCTTGTTGATGCTAGAGGTCAGAGGAGAATGGGCCGACTGATTCAAGCTGATAGAAGAGCAACTTTGACTGAAATAACCACTCGTTACAACCGAGGTATGCAGCAAAGCATTTGTGAAGCCACAACATGCACAACCTTGAGGCGGATGGGCTACAACAGCAGAAGACCCCACCGGGTACCACTCATCTCCACTACAAAAAGGAAAAAGAGGCTACAATTTGCACGAGCTCACCAAAATTGGACAGTTGAAGACTGGAAAAATGTTGCCTGGTCTGATGAGTCTCGATTTCTGTTGAGACATTCAAATGGTAGAGTCAGAATTTGGCGTAAACAGAATGAGAACATGGATCCATCATGCCTTGTTACCACTGTGCAGGCTGGTGGTGGTGGTGTAATGGTGTGGGGGATGTTTTCTTGGCACACTTTAGGCCCCTTAGTGCCAATTGGGCATCGTTTAAATGCCACGGCCTACCTGAGCATTGTTTCTGACCATGTCCATCCCTTTATGACCACCATGTACCCATCCTCTGATGGCTACTTCCAGCAGGATAATGCACCATGTCACAAAGCTCGAATCATTTCAAATTGGTTTCTAGAACATGACAATGAGTTCACTGTACTAAAATGGCCCCCACAGTCACCAGATCTCAACCCAATAGAGCATCTTTGGGATGTGGTGGAACGGGAGCTTCGTGCCCTGGATGTGCATCCCACAAATCTCCATCAACTGCAAGATGCTATCCTATCAATATGGGCCAAACACCGTATTAGTATGGTGTTCCTAATAATCCTTTAGGTGAGTGTATATCTTTATACACAAGACACTGTGTATATATTGAGTTCATTCAGGCCCCAGACACCCTTTACCTCCAGAGGGGATAGTGGAAAGTTCCGACAGTGATATTATCTCCCACCCGTCAAATTCACTCTCCTCGCCATCTAACTTGATTCTCTCCTTGCTGTCAATAAAGTTACCTTCATTAAATTGTTCTGGCTAATTTTTCAGTCACATACAATAAAGATGTTAAACATTATCCTGAAAGTTACTGTTGATACGTAAAATTTCCAAGGTGTTTAGGTGCATATGTTTAACTTGTGCTTTTTATATTTTGAACATGTGGTGGGTGAATTGCATTTAGGAATATGGTGCATACACAGTTAAATTCCACAGCAGAATAATCACACAGTTTGATTACAAACTCTGAGGATAACTGATTAAACTGATTAAAATCCTGAGTGTCTGCACAGTATTTGTTTTAATGCTCGTTTCCTCTGCAGAAGGTCTGTATCTTCACTTGTACCTCAGCAGTGTTGAGCGCACAGCGTTGACTGCCTGCTCATTTTCCTGGCAATCCAGCAGCCCTCTAGATTCATGGAAGGCACAGTGGATGACTTGCACTATGTTGCCCTTGGACAGTTGCACTGTGATGTTGGTCATGTGACTGGGATCGCGACAGTGGTGCATGAACACCAGGATGACAGGTTTGTTTCCTGTGGAAGGGAGAAACCAAACAGGTTACTGTGGGCACTGATAGATGCTCTCGCTTCCCCTCCTGGTTTGTTACATGTTAAATAAGGTGAAAACAAAGAAAAGCTGTGAGGTTTGCATCCTAGGATTGGCTCTTGGCTCAGGATTAACCTGTAGTGCTTAACTGGTCATAGAAGGATGGATGGAAAAGTTATAAAAGCCAAGGTCCTTTGAAGTAAGGAAATTTATGACCTGCGTGTTTGTAAAAGACATGGTAAGAAACAAATAATGATGATTCAGATTCAATGTTTTCTAAAGACTGTATGTGAAGTGTTGTTGAACATAACACATTACAGAACAGTGCCAAACTTTTGGGTTAGTCACTGTCACAGCAAATCAAAATATAGTTACATAGATCTGTTCTGTTATTAGACACTGTATGAACAGTCAGGTTGATTTTAAAACTAAATTTAATTTCTTTCCTGATTTTATTATATACTGTAGTATAGGAAATCATGTGTCAGTCTTATTTTAAAAGTTAAATTTCAATTTTATTGGTAATTTTTTATCTACTAGATTACCTTTCAGTCAAAAGAAATTGATCTGTGACAAACCGTAAATTTGAAAATGTGTCAGACAGAGATTACAGCCTTTAGAGACTGTCAGATTCACTAGAAAAAGGCTTGGCAGATATGGATGGTTTGTTGGTCTGTGTTTGTTTTAACAGGAAAACTCTGTTAAATAAATCACATATTCCTCTGAGAAGAGATGAACTACATAATCCCTGTTTGCTGTGTCTTTGTTGGATTTCATGGCAAAGGTGACATACAGCAGAGACTGAATCCTGTCTCACCTGTAACTCTGGCCATTGCTGCCTCCATGTCTGTCCCAATCCGAGAAACAACAGGACAGAAGACCAGGATGACACTGCTGCTCTCTACACTGCAGCGCTCTATCTGCAGCTTCAGCTTTTCCATGAAGGTATCATGGAAATTGAAAGTATTTCCAGCAACCAGCATATGGACTTTCACTGGGGAAGAGAAACAGAATTTAAAAATTGTCATGAACAGGAAGCATACAGTACATGAAAATTTTCTACACATAGATTTCTTCTGTGTGTCATTCATCCACTTATGTGGCACAAAGTTCTCCATCAGGACTAGATATGGTAGCCACCCTAGAGCAGTAACTATATTTTATTATATCTCTGAAATAGACTGATCACATTAACCTTTCGGCAGTAGGCCAGTGGATGGCAAGAAGTGGGTTCACTATTTCCAGCAGTAATGCTGTACCCTCAAGGGTCTGCCAATTGTACCCTTAGCTGTAGGTAATTGTACCTTTTATGGTACAGAAATGGACTCTGAGGAATATCCCTAAAGTACCAACAACATGCCCCCAGTGGTAAAAAGTGTTCCTCATAGTCCACTTCTGTATCTTAAAAGGTACATTTACCCTTGAGGGTACAGCCCCAGTGAAAAGCAAACATACAAATTGGTACCTTTTTTTCTGACAGTGTTCTTCAGTGGGTTACAAATAGTAAAGTCCAATAAAAAATTCATTATTTTCCCTTCTATACCAAAACTGCACTGAACCGTGTACCCAGAACCATGAATTTTGTGTACTGTCATACCTGCAATTTTTATAATTATTAGTAATGGAATATGTGTCTTTGTACCCGTTGTGCTCATGGCCAGAGAGGCCAGTGTCTGTATGTATGCAGAGTTCACTCAGGCCCCAACACACCCTTTACCTTCAGAGGGGCCAGTGGAATGTCCCATTCGTGACACAATCACCCACCCATCAGCTTCTCTCTCCTCACCAGCTGGCTCATTGCACCCCTTGAGACGCTCGCTGTCATTGCTGATGTTTGGCTTGTTGACATCCTGGGTAGCCATTGGCTGCTGCTTCATATGCAAGTAGGTGCAACGAACCTTGAACTCTGGGACTTCACACCAGAAGGTGAGACCAAGGTAAGAACATACATAATAACCTCTCTGTGTTGCAGGGTTTATTTGTTTTGTGCCTGATTCTGCTGAAACAGTTTGCAGTATGCATAATTCTTGTTGAAGAAACTTCGGCTTCATTTCATGAGTAAAACTTCAGCTGTTCCAAATATACAGTAACTGTTACTGTCATGTCCATAAACTTAAACCAGTTTGTTTGCAGAACTAAGATTTATAAGCCATTATGAATGTAGTTACTTCTGTTTCTACAACTGATTCCTAAGTCTGTCTGCTTAGTGTTGAACCCTGACTTTACCACCTTTTGTGAGGCTACTATTCAGAGAATCGCTCTAGGAAGTTATGCAAGGATATACAGTGGTACCTCGGTTCTCGAACTCACTAGAACTCGAATTTCTTGAAAGTCGAACAAACCAGTTTGACCTAGAACTCGATCTGAATATCAGAAGTCGAACTTTGAACGCTGACCTAACATAAATCGTACGCGCCAGGAAATGAGTCATACTACAATGCAATTCTTACTTGA